GCATGAGGCACACTGTTTATATATATATATATATATATATATATATATATATATATATATATATATATATATATATATATATATATATATATATATATATATATGTATATATATCGCGGGAGAGCCTATGGTGCGCTGAGGCTGGTGGTGGCTAGATCCTGACAGATGGTCTACCCATTGCTGCTACTGTTGCGCCATAGTCTCATGTCCTGGGCGCCTCCACGTGGCGACCACGGGGTGGGAGTTGGGTTTCGCCCTTCTCCGTGCTAAGATCCAGGACACCAATCCGCATGAGTCGGCTAACTGACCATGTGCTAGACCCGCTGCCTTTCAGGTGTTCATTTAATCGAAGGCTTTGGCTGAGGACCCGAGTCGTTCTCCTGTCAGGTGTCGGTGCCCTGCCAGTATCCTAGCCCATCCTCTTCGGAGGTTAGGAAGTGGTCGATGGCCCTCTTACCGTAAAACCTAGCCATGGGAGACAACAGGTTGAAGGGTTATAAGCCCACAGCTAGATTGGCGTAGAGCACGAGTGCCACGCATTGTCTCTGACGGTGGGAAGACAACTCCAGGTGTTCAATGGTTTGCTACTGCCCGCCTCAAGCCAGGCAGCCCCTGGTCAAATTGGTGCAAACCCGACAAAAACCCACCTGCGTCTGGCCGTGGTCGCAGGTGCGTATCCTATTACGGTCGCAAAACATATGATAATTGTTCCAGTACCTCAAAGGCTGCGTGTGCCGGTCGCCAAGCAGATGCCTATCTGTCTCTGCAATCACATTCCCGAGCTGGATCTGTTCCCCACTGTCTTGTGGGTCAGGCTATTGAGCCAAAGGCTCTGGGTGGAGTCCCTCAAGCAAACCTCCGAAGCACAACGACCACCTCGCGTACGATTGCCCACCAATGCAGTCGTACGCCTGCGCTCAAAGCACTCAGCATCGGGTGCTGGAACGTGCGCACAGTACTGGACCGGAACTCCAGCGAGCGCCCGGAGCGACGCACTGCACTCGTCGTGATGGAGCTGGCGCGCTACCACACCGATATTGCGGCGCTCAGTGAAACTCGGCTCGCTGAGCAAGGTAAGTTGCATGAAGCAGGTGCTGGCTACACATTCTACTGGGTGGGCAACGCCGCCACAGCACCACGTGAACATGGGGTCGGATTTGCAATATCCGATCGCCTCCATGGCCAGCTGGTGGGTGAACCAACGGGCATCAGCGCGCGACTGATGACTGTTCGCCTACGACTCGGAAGAGGTAAATTTGCTGCTTATGTAAGCACGTACGGTCCGACCATGTGTTATCCTGATGACACGCGTGATTAGTTCTACACTGAGCTATCCTCCGTGATACGGTCTGTGCCGAGGAGCGAGCGACCATTTCTGCTGGGTGATTTCAACGCGCGTATTGGGCGTGATGCATCAGCGTGGACAGATGTTATCGGTACGCATGGCATTGGTTCAGCGAATGCGAACGGTGACAGGCTGCTCCCACTGTGTGCCACTCACGGTCTGACGATCACGAACACTCGGTTTGCACTGAGCGCGAGTGATATAGCAACTTGGTTGCACCCACGGAGTGGTCACGCTCAGCTGCTCGACTATATCATCGTACGTCAGCATGATATGCGTGGTGCGCACGACACGTGTACTGCGTGGAGCTGAGTGTGGCACTGATCACAAGTTGGTGCGGACCAAGCTGTACGTATATTTTCGTAAATCTATCTATTGCACTCCCGTCGTGAATCGGAATAAATTTAACATTCTCTCCCTCGGTACTGTGGCGAAACGTACTGAGCTGGAGAAGGCGATGGCTGCACGCCTGTGTGATGTGGACTGCATAGCCACAGTGGGTGACCTGTGGCACCACATTCGCGATCAGGTGACAACTGCTGCCGAGGAGATCATCGGGCGCGCAAACTGTAAACGGCCTGATTGGTTTGATGACAACAATGTGACGATCCGCGCATTGGTGTCGGAGAAGAATGCAGCATTTACTGCACATGCTGCAGACCCCAGTGACTTGGGATAGAGTAGTCGATTTCGCAAACTTCGACGGCGACTGACCCGAGAGCTCCGTCGCATTAAAAATGCATGGTGGACGGAGAAGGCGAAGCAGATGGAATGCTACGCCGAACGACGCCAACAAGAATGACTTGACTCCTTGAAGGCGGTGAATGGACCGAGATTGGAGCCGCTGAGGACACTGATCGATGGTAGTTCAGGCGCTACCTGCACCCAGACTGCAGACATAATGCAGATCTGGCGGAAACACTTTGACCGTCTCTTGAACAACCGTTCAGAGATCGACTGGCCCACATTAAACGGCCTGAAGCAGCACGATGTGAAGGCGGATCTGGCGGATACGCCGACACTGGATGAGACGCAGAGAGCACTTGCTCAGCTGCGGAACGGCAAGTGTGCCGGAGCCGACGGGATCCCGCCTGAAGTATTGAAACACGGTGGACCCGCGTTGTTGACTGCGCTGCACCACTTGGTGCAACGCGTGTGGATTGAGGAGGAGGTGCCTCCTGAGCTGAAGGATGCCCTTGTGCTACCACTGTACAAGGGCAAAGGGAGCAAGCAATGTTGCACGAATTATCGTGGCATCAACTTGCTGAGTTGTGTGGGCAAGGTGATTGCCCGAATCCTGCTCAACCGCCTCGTCAGTCAGGTTGTGGAACCTAACGTGGCGGAGGAGCAGTGTGGATTCCGTTCGGGTCGCAGCACTATAGATATGGTGTTTGCGGCTCGTCAGATGCAAGAGAAGTGCAGAGAAAGACACCAGCCATTGTACTCGCTTTTTGTTGATTTCACCAAGGCATTTGATACGGTGAACCGCGAGGCATTGTGGCTGGTGTTGGGTAAGTTTGGTTGCCCGCGTAAGTTTGTAAGTTTAATTGAATGTCTGCACAGTGGTATGCGAGCGAGGGTGCAGCTGAGTGGAGAGACCACGGATAACTTTACAGTTGTCTCTGGTGTGAAGCAAGGCTGTGTCTTAGCTCCTGCCCTGTCTAATATATATCTTCATGCAATGTTGTCTTGTGCTTTTGATGCGGCTTGTGCTTACGGTGTTCGTGTGGAGCACCGTATTGATGGTGGGTTACTGAACATCCGTCGTTTCGGTGCGAGAACTCTAGTCTGTGAGACAACTATCCGTATGTTGCTGTTTGCTGACGACTGTGCGTTGTTCGCGCGCAGTGCGGATGAGTTGCAGCACATGACTAGTGCTCTGGCTTCGACAGCGGCCAAAGTTGGGCTCACCATCAACACAAGCAAAACTGTCTGTCTCTTTCAGCCTTCACCGGAGGTGCAATCTTCAATATTGCCGCGAATCAGTATTGGTGCTGAAGTATTGGAAACCACCTCCCGTTTCAGCTACCTTGGGAATGTGATGTCAACTGATCAGCAGCTACACAGTGAGCTGCGTATTCGCGTGTCGAAGGCAGCGACAGCATTCGGAAAGCTTGAGTACCGAGTGTGGAACAACCATCAGCTTACCATTGGCACGAAGCTGATGGTGTACAAATCCATGGTACTGTCCGTTCTTCTATACGGCAGTGAAACGTGGGCGATGTACCGTCGGGATGTGCGATATCTCGAGCGGTTCCATCAGCAGTGCTTGCGACGAATTCTGCGGATCGGCTGGGGCGACAGGGTTGCAGACACGGAAGTTTTGCGCCGAAGTGGGATGTATGCAGTGGACTGCATACTTTTATTGTGACACCTGAGGTGGCTCGGTCATGTGAGCCGTATGGATTCGACGCGGATACCGAAACAACTCTTATACGGTCAGCTGAGTATTGAGAAGCGGCACGTGGGGAAACCAAAGTTACGTTACCAGGACATGATCAAAGTCAGCCTCACACGTTCTAATCTTGATTGCAGATCATGGGAATCGAAGACGGTTGATCGTGGTGCATGGCACGATCTAATCACGAAGGCAGTTGCTGAAGTGCGGGAGAAAGCCCTCATGCATCCAGAGAAGAAGCGACAGATGCGGAAGCGGCAAGCACCGATGAATTGTACTCCATCGACATCAAGCGCATGGTGCTGTAGAACATGCGGCCGCGAGTGCATTAGTCAGGCAGGCTTAGTGAGCCATGAGTGAGGCCACTCCGGAGTACTACCGAAGCGACGACGGGTTCTGCAGAGAACATAGGCAGAACCGGCGCAGCGTTTGTAGGTACGCTGCATTCGATTTACTAACCGCGTGCTTGCATGCTAAGTCTATTTCAGGTGGTGGGTTTTCAATTTTACCTTAATGCTTTTCTTTCTCATATAAATGTCTACCTGTACTCTATTCCATTAACTTGCACACCTCGCTTAAGCCAATTGTATTCGATTTCCATAACATTTTTGTATTCGTGGCATTTCCGTATAGTATACTTTCTCATCTTGTGAACTTATCTAGGATTCGTTTGTAAACAACTTATTTCATATGCTCATTAACTTAAGGTTTATGTCACCGTTTCCGTATACATCAATCGAGTTATTTTCTTTCCCCCCCTCTCTCTCTCTCTCAAGTGTTTGGCTGTTGTTTGATATCCCTGGTGTGGCTGCGCTTGATGTGCATGTTGACAAGGTGCCTACCTGTACATTACCCACTACCTCGTCCATACCGGCTCCAGGAGACAGTTGGTCGTTGCTGGAGGGGACGGGGTGCACGGTCTGTAGGTGCAGGCGTCCTGTGGCTTGCCACAGTGACAGGCAAATCCGAAACCGGATGCCGCCAACCATATATATATATATATATATATATATATATATATATATATATATATATATATATATATATATATATATATATATATATATATATATATATATATATATATATATATATATATATATATATATATATATATATATATATAATCTGTGCAGTGTGCATGGCGATGAACGATTGGAAGTTGGCAAACAAATGAGAATATTGCAGTTGTCCGCTGAAATATAATGAGATACACTAAACAACCTGACACGCAGTAGTGGGGCAAATCAAACGTACCTGGACCGGTGGAAGTTTCGTCACTCTTCGGAGGCGGGTAAGACGGGACAAGGTTTATGTTAACAACGGCTGGCTCCCCTGCGGGTAGAACGGGTGCTTGCAGTACAGGCTGTTGCTTTTGTTCTTCTTCTCGCATTTTTTCGAGGGCGGCGGGTTGATGAACTGGGGCAAGCTCTCCCTGACCCGCATCAGCAATAGGATTCGGTTGATGGGGCAAAACAACGGGATTTTGGCCAGATGGATTTTTGACTGTGTGTTTGACGTCAAGAATGGAGGGGGTGTAAAGGAATGACATTAGCAGAAATCCACAAAAAAACGCTAGCGCGAGGTAGATCACCCTTTTTCTTCGCCAGAGTATACGTCCAAACATTTGATAATTGAAAGAGGGTGGAAGCTCTGAAAGGCAAATGGCCGTATTACAATAGCGACTGATGCAAATGCAAAAATTAGGACCAGTTGGTAAAAAGAGGATTGTGTCAAACTTGAAATGCGGTGGAGACGTTAGTTGAGACAGATTGAGAAAAAAATCACTACGACGAAAAGCACACGGAAGTAAGATGACATGATGGAAATAACAGTCGCTGTAAGGTGAGAATAGATTGACTCTGCGGTACTGAACCAAATCAAGTTTCAACCAATAAAACGCACCCAAATAGGACGAGTGAGAGAACATGAGAGTGAAGCAAAACCAACGTAGGCTGGTTGGCTGCTTCGAGTCAGGTAGAGCAGCAAACGGCTCATATGCGCGTTCCAGTTGTTGTCGGCATCAGAGATCGTCTGCATCCTACATCCCTTCAAAGTTAAAAGTACTCAAAATGGAATACCAAACGTATCTGACTTATGAGAAATAATAAGGTGCACTGTAGCATGTTTAGCTCTGTTTAGTTAAACAAGTACGAGTCAGATAAAGAAGTGCGGTGGAGCCACCTGAGTGATACGCGTCGAGAAGAAAACACTTATAATCGACAATGGTAAGAAAAATGAAATAGAAAGAAACAGAAGAGAAAGGGAGCGAAATTAATCGGAGTGGAATATTGACAAGTGGATAAAAGAAATCGAATGCGGGAGCAGCACAATGTTAACGAGGATACCATGTCACAAAACGTATCCAATCATTGATGGGGCCAACACTGACTCCTCCACTCAAGAAGTCAGCATGTACTACCATGAAAAAATCCTGGATCGACTTCGTCATACTTGTGCATCAGGACATCCACTGGCCCACTCGCAGTTTCACCCAAATATGTGCTGCGACAGCATTCATTACATGCCAGGGAGTCGTCAACGGGTCTAACTCAGGATATGATCACACCAACGTAAGGCGTCCATGTTCCCTTGACAATCCAGTGAGGCACCAGAGTTGCATCCCTAACGCCAATTAGAAGGCTAAGTATTGTTCACCCGGTGCATACACATGACCAACATTTCACCAGCTCCGACGATCAAAGACAATCTTCAGAATGGTACCCGAATATTAGAGACCCTCTTTATCGATAACTGTTGCTTATGGGAAACTCGCCTACAGGACTAGAGCTCTGTGCGCACATAGCGATCCCTTTCAGGTGAAACAAACAGTGCTTTCTCACTGCGTCTATCTGGAGATGATACGGTCTCGAGTGCCGGCGCAGCCAATGTGGGTATTGCCTTGAGCCCCCGGCTCAAGCCGCTCTGGTTGGATGGATCCTGATCAGTAGCCGGATGTGTGTTGTCCGACTGGCTGGCTCGTTAAAAGCTTCGAAGTCGCACGAAGATAAACGAGCTGTTTGTCATTGCTGCCTACACGCCCACAAACTGACTCGGTGAAAGACGACCTCTACCACAAACTGAACAAGTTCCTTCGTCACAGAAAAGGTACGGATACTGTAGTGCTGGCTGGTGAGGTAAGCAATCAAGTTGGAAAATTGTCAACGGATGAACCCTATCTGGGTGGCCAACATGGTGTAAACTCTTGTAATGATAACGATGAGCGGTTGCTACACCGGTGTGAAAATGCTCGTCTATTGCTCGCGAGCACTAACTTCTGATATAGCACCCACAGAAGGACGACATATCGCCCACAACCCTTGGACCAGACATGGACGCAAATCAATCACATCACGAACAGTTAACGCTGGAAAGGCTGTAGACAAAACTGTCGCTCGATCTGAAGCACATGTCATTAATTTTATTTTTATTATTAGTACACATAAGCAGGTGAGAAACATACTTCAACCATTGAGCAGCAATAGATAAACATAAGACAAACGAAAAAGCGATGCTGAAAATTATAGAACGCAAAAAAACAGGCGACAGACTACTTAGAAAAGTATTATGTGTCAAGTTGGAGAGCGAGGTTGGATGGGGGAAGATAGCGGGATGGAGAGGGATAGAGAAACTCACAACACAAACGCCACTAAGATTGGCTCTTCGCCATGTCAATTAGTGCATCCAACCAGAAGTATTCATCGTCCTTCGGAACCCAGTCCGGCAGGGGGGACAGGCCAACCGATGCCAATTTCGAAGTGAGGAATGACATTCCTCGTGACCAAGTCATCTTTTGGCCAACCCTTCTTCTAACAAGACCCGGGACGCGCAATAAACGCACGAAGCTGGAGTCGGTGGGCTAGCATGCGCAACATTTGGCCCAGCTATCGGAGCCTGGTGCGTGATATAATGTTGCTGAGCGGTTCACTCGCTCTTCCTATACCAAATACGCGACGCCGAACACGATCATTGGTCACGCGGTGCTAATAGAAGACATGAGCTAAGCTACGAAGGTAGCGATGATCGAATGTGACGAGCCACTTTATGTCTGTCGACCTGATGGGCCAGGTTTCACAGCCGTTCAGGAGGGTTGAACGGACGGGTACGTTATAAACTCTGTCCTTCAGGCCAGGAGTAATGTCGCGTCTGCGCCACAGGTGGCGGAGGTTGGCAAAAGCGAGTCTAGCTTTCGCTACGCGATTTGTGATCTCATCTTCCGTTCCACTAGCGCTGATATAGCTGCCTAGATACTTGAACTTCTCGATGACTTCTAACTGATCCCGAAAAAAGTGTCAGCATATGGGTGGGTTCCTACCAAACTTGAAGGACTTTGCATTCCGAGGGCGTAAAGCATAACCCAAAACGACTGACACCCAGTGCTAGTTTGTCCAATTCCACTTGGAACGTTTGAAAGCTGTTACAGATGAGGGCAATGTCGCCAGCGTACTCGAAATCAAGAAGTCGTTCATATGGGAGCAGCTCCACGCCTTGTAGCTCGTGTCCAGTCGCAGTTCTAGGATCTCGTCAATGGAGAAGTTAAAAAGGAAAGGTGATAGCGGGCATCCTTGTCTCACACTGTTGGAGATATTGAAAGGCGGCGACAGCTTATCGGAAGCCCTCACTTTGCCCGAACTATGCGCGCACACCACTCTTATGACATTGACATATTTCTCGGGCACACGTTTCCTCAGTAGACAGACCCAAAGGTCACATCGATCAAACCAATCGAAGGCAGCATTGATGTCGAGGAACAGGATTACGGTGTCGTACCGGTAAATAAGGTGCTCCAGCATTTGAAGTAGTGTGAAGCTGTGGTTAATACCTTTACAACTACGACGAAACCCGCCTTGCTCCTCGCAAATCTGGCTTTCACGTGTGCCAGCAAGCCTACGAAGAACGACAGAATCGTGTATCTTAGAAGCACACATGTGTGGACGTTGACCATACACTTGTACTTGCTGACCTGCGGTTGTATAGGGTTGGTGGCAACCGGCTCCGGATTTGCCTGTCACCACGGCCTCAATAGGACAGCCCCAAAACGCCTGCGCATACAGTGGGATCATAGGTGGCTCACGCTGCACCACCCACAGCCCCATGTACATAAGCCATCGGGTGTGGTTTGTGTCCTCTGCTATTCCACAGATGCTGATACAGTTGCCCAGGTAGTCAACCTATCTAACGATTTATAGCTAATCCACACCCTACTACTGTTGTAACAACGTATTGCGTTTTGAGAGTGCGAAGCACAATGTGAAACAGTTGACATTTAGTGCTAAGCTATCCAACGCTGCGTCATAGGTTGGTAAACTGTCACAGAATAGGGTACTATTTTCGGCACAATGTACGTCATGAGGTCCATCTTCGGGGATTAGTTGCACATCGTCCAATTCGTGTCTTATTCGATGGTGAAGTTAAAAAGGAAAGGTGACAAAGGACATCCTTGTTACACAGGGCTTGAACGTTAAAGGACAGAAACAGTCTGCCTTGAGTTCTCACTCCACCGAGACTACGCGCGTAAAGCGCTCTGATGGCATTAACACCACTTTCGGGTACAGGTTTCCTAATCAGACGTCCCAATAAGACACACTAACCCATCGCCGACTGGTGACTAACAGGATCACACACTTGCCTTGTAATCTGTAGATTACCGGTTGGACCTAACGTAGGGGACTGGGCAACCCTCGAAATATCCTTAGTCCAAGCGCGACCGGCGGCGGTTGCGTGACAGCAAAGTGCCGGTACGGCGTACCGACGTACTGCTGAAGTCTTTCTCTTCTGGTACCTTGACCCACCGAATCGATCGCATCGTTAATGTCGATGAACACGACTAGGATGGGCAGTCAAAATATGTGGCGGTGCTCCAGCAATTGGCGCAAGGTTAAGAGCTGAGCAATGCAGTCTCGACTTCCATGAAACCTAGCTTGTTCTTTACGGATCTATCTTCAATGTGGGGCAGTTAATTTATGAAGAATGACAGATCCAAGAAACTTACAGACAGATGAGATCAAACTGATGCATTTATGATTGTCATATTTCGAAAGTGAGCCTCCCTTGAAAATCAAAACCATAAGGGAGCATCACCAGTCGGTTGGGGCAGTTCCTGGTCTCATATTTTCACCAATAGACAGTGGTAATCATCCAAAGGATTAGGTCCTCCGAATACGAAGAGTTGGACGCATTTCATACAATCCAAAGCCCATTTTCAATTTAAATAGTCCAATATGGCGCTTGAGTATTGAGCAAAGGCGGACTTAAAGGGCTGGCTTAGAGAGTAAGACGATCAATGGCGGGCGAAAAAGATGGCAATTCTTGCCTACTAAATTGCTTTGCGAAGTGTTCATCATTGGCAGGGACCCGCCTCCGCGCTAACGCTTTGTGGAGATCTGCTAGAAGTCGTGCAGGAATTCAAGTACCTGGGCAGTTATATTAGCGCCCGTGGGATCGAAGATGAGGTTACGAACCGTATAGCAAAAGCTCGAGGTGATTTTGCCAATCTCTACCACCTGTGGCGCAGACGCGACATTACTCCTGGCCTGAAGGACAGAACGTAGCCGTCCGTTCAACTCTCCTGTACAGTTGTGAAACCCGGCCCATCAGGTCGACAGACATAAAGAGGCTCGTCACATTCGATCATCGCTACCTTCGTAGCTTAGCTCATGTCTTCTAGGAGCACCGCGTGAGCAATGATCGTGTTCGGTGTCGCGTATTTGGTGTAGGAAGAGCGAGTGAACCGCTCAGCACCATTATATCACGCACCAGGCTTCGATGGCTGGGCACGTGTTGCGCATGCCAGCATACCGACTCCCGCGACGTGCATTGTTTGCGCAACGGGGGGGGGGCGGTTGGAAGAGGAGAGGAGGCCAAGTGATGACTTGGTCGAGAGAAATGAAAACCGTTACTTCGAAGTTGGAGTCGGTTGATGCATTCCGACTGTCTGGCTGGGGTCTTAAGGACGATGAGCACGTTTGGTTGGACATACTTGCAGATATGGCTAGGAGCCGGCCCCAATGAGGTTTGTGTTGTGAGTTCCTTTGTCCATCCCCCTCCAATCACGATCTCATTCGCTAGACAGAATATAACTCTTTTCACGGCAGGATAGCCGGCTGTTAGCTCTCCGGAACGATGTCCATCCGTTAGTCGGCGTGCCACAGTTGTATTTTCTTCTTGTCTTTAGTATTGCGGCACAATAACAGGTGTTTTGCACCTGTAGCTAACGCGTATAATGATGGTGATGATCATTAGACATTAGCTGTAGATGAAAAAAACACCTCAGCTAACTATGCCGAAATACAAAAGATGAGATATATCAGAAAGCGAGATACTAAACATTACAGAATAACCAACTAAAAAAGCAAGTGACATAATGCTAGTTGTAATTGTATCCATGCAATGTGACATAGTTGTTAGATACGGAAGCTAAGCCGGAAATGGATGAGCAAAGAAACGCCATTGAGGTTGATTCGTCGCCATGGCAACTAGTGTATCCAACCAAATATGTTCATTGTCCTTCGGACTCTAGGCAGACAGTCAGGACACTAACCGAGGCCAAGTTTGAAGTTAGGGACTTTATTCCTCTTGATCAAGTCATCGCTTGATCTCCCCTCCTTTTTCATCCACACTCCGGTCGCGGAAACAACGCACGTCGCGGGAGTTGGTGTGCTGGCATGCACAACACGTACCCCAGCCATCGGAAACTGTTTCGTGATATACCAGTGCTGCGCGGTGCACTCGCTCTTGCTGTACCAAATACACGACGCCGAAGTGCTCAGCCTAACGCCTCCAGCGTTCTATCAGGTCGTGGATGGGCTGCTCCCTCTTGTTGCAGTTTCGTCACCACAAGGTCTCCTGCTGCCCGTTTCTCATCCGAGACGAAATAATTTACGATGGCTTCAAGACCAGCGGCCTTGTCAATTTCCAACACATGATGACACCACAAGCTTCATCGAGTTCGCTCTAACTTGGGTGTGTCGACGAGCATCCAGATTTGTCCGGGACCTCGCAGAAAGCAATTATTCATGCTGACGATGGAATTTGCTTTACGAAGATATGCTTGCTGTCAACAAGATCTGATGAACACGTGGTTAGTGACCAACTGTGTTCAGTGAGTGCGTGTTCAACCCGTATGCTACCATACTTTGATACGTATTCAGAAGATATGGCTTCACCATTTGGCTGGTGTATGCAATCACAGCGTCGCCACAAGCTTCGACTGAAGCGAACTTGGGCATTGGCACATGCAATTGCATGGTCGAGGTCCCTGTTTGTGCTCCAAATCAAGAATGAAATCGTTACAACGGTAACAAATCGCGATATGATTGATTTTCGTCCACGAATGATTCGCGGGCGCTGGGTATCATGCTCATCTCCGGTTGGTGCCGTGTCGGAAGTTAGTGATCGCGATGAACAGACAGCCGTCTTCACATAGGCGCAACAACCGCCCACAAGTATCATTACGTGAGCCTACACCGCGTTATGCACCCGATGCAGTTTATCAGTGGACCGTTTCCAACCTTAGCGTTCAGATCACCAGCCAGAAATACGGTGTCTGTACTTCTACCGTTACGAAGGTCGATCAGTTGGTGTTAGAAGCCATCTTTCATCGAGTCAGTAATATGGTTTGTGGGGGTGTTTGTATGAATGACATGCATGCACTTATTTGCACGGCATGACGTTGAGGTTTGGAAAGAGTCAGCTAGGTAGATACCACACAACCGGCTACTGGTTAGGATCTAGTCGAGCAAGATAGTGTTATGGTCACCAGAGTTGCGCCGGGTCGCTCTCATTTGCCGTTCGAAATGGTGTCCAGGCAAATTGATAGAACAAGAAGGCAAGATTGCAAGGACCAGTTTAATGGCCGCCAGATACAAGTTGTTGATCAACTATGATACGAGCACCGAAGTGCGGTGGATCCAGATGCCACGATTCACAATAACAATAAATAACCCAGGTAAGATAATGGGGTTGGGTGCAAACAGAATGTAGATGAAGTGAAAACAAGAAGGAAATGTGTTACACTAATCAGTATAGAACGATGACAAAAGTATCAACGAGTAATCGATCAACAAAAGGCCATTTGCTTATCCAACCTCGGGGAACAATTAACCAGAGAGCTTGAGAAAGCGATCGCCATTAGTACCCATAAGACCAAATTCCAAACAAAGCAGAAAGTAAAAGAGAAGTTGGACAGAATCTCGCAACAAAAACCAGCAAACGAAGAGGACGCATGGATTAAGAATCTATCCAAACGAACCCTATCAGATACAGAAAGAGCAGTTATTGTGGAGGGTTGCAGATCAATTACAAAGATTCCAATCCCATTGATTTCCTTGCTGCACTTGAATCAACGCTGACCACATAAAACATCACGACTGAGGCCCAACATGCAATTAGACACAGCATCATCGCCGCTCTGAGTCACAAAGTGGAAACCAACATATTCAGTGTAAGCGAACGAAAGGCACCAACAAACCTTATAAAAGACAAAACTATTGTTACATTACCGGCTGACAAGGGACGTCTTATTGTAGTAATGGACAAATCTGAGTGCATGAAGAAAGCACAAGGAATGCTCGGAGATGCGAACACCTACCAGCCGATAAGTGAAGACCCTACAAAACGTCTGGAAAGCAAGATCAACAAAACTCTTTAAAGACTGAAACAAATTGGACAGATCACGAAGTTAAAACACAGCTAGAGGAAATCCCAGGATTTAGTGCGGCCACGCTTCCATGCCTACCTAAAGTAAACAAAAATGGGGTACCGCTTCGCCCTATCGTGTCATTACCCGGGGCGCCAAATTACAAGCTGTCTAAGGAACTTTGGAAACGGTTGAAACACCTAATCGCAGGCTCAGAGCACTCAATCCAATCAGCAGAACAATTCCTTGAAAAACTTAAGGGAATAACAATAGAAAGAGACGAGATAATGGTCTCCTTTGACGTTACAGCTTTGTTCACATCAATTGACACGACGCTGGCGAGGCAAACAATGAGGACTCTGCTTGAACAACAAGGAGCGGTAAATACCAGCAACCGAATTGAAGCCACACAAATGATGGAGTTGCTTGACTTCTGTCTCACCACACATTTCACTTTCAATGGTCAAATGTACAAACAGATAACGGGTACGCCAATGGGATCGCCAATCTCTGGACTGGTAGCGGAAGCGGTGGTGCAAAGCTTGGAACAGAAGGCATTGCCAATAGTGGAGCCCAAACTTTGGGTACGTTACGTAGACGATACTTTTGTCATCCTCAAACGCTCCAGACTACAAGAAACACATCAACTAATCAACAATATATTTTCCGGCATCCATTTCACCAAAGAGGAAGAGAACAATGATCAGTTGCCATTCTTGGACGTGCTCGTGAGAAGACATGTTTCTGGGTCACTGGAAACAACAGTTTATCGGAAAGCGACCCACAATGATCAGATCTTAAACTATCGCAGTAACCATCCGACCATATACAAGCGAATTTGCGTGAGGACGCTTTTCAAACGGGCCCAGACACATTGTAGCACGCCGCAACTGAGGAAGGCGGAGGAAGACCACCTATTTAGCATGTTTCAGCGAAATTCGTACCCTAGAAGCTTTATTCTACGCTGCCTGATGTCGAAGAGCCAGTCACAACCCGCATCCACATGTGCAACAGAAAGAAGAACGATTATCCTACCTTACATCCATGGGATTTCTGAAATGGCAGCGAGACTTCTAATGCCTCACGGGATAACTGTTGCACACGAAGCAACGGAAACCATACGAAGTAAACTATTTAAGGTGAAGGACAAACTCACTAAGAAAGAAACATCGGGTGTAGTTTACAAAATTTACTGCAAGAACTGTGATAAGTACTATGTAGGCCAGACTGGAAGAAAACTTGGCACAAGACTGAACGAACATAGTCTGGCCATCCGCCGCCACGATGAGAAATCCTTAATGTCAGTACACATGGATGCCGAGAACCATCAGTTCGATCTGGAGAACGTTGAAATAGTTGGAAGAGCAAGAAACCGCAGAGCGCGTGAGTTCCTCGAGGCCTGGCATTCTGGCCGGAACTCAATCAACAAACACCTGGAGCTGGAGGGTGTCTATGAAGCTCTGCAGGTTAAGCCAGCATTAGGCACCAGATCGACAAGGAGAAGAGGTGCCCACTCGACCAACTCACGTGAACAGATCGAAGGCTGACATTCGAAGCAGGCAACAATCAATAGTCACTCGGATCTGACATTGGTTTGCGAGACCGCGAATCAGGACTGAATAGCCGCACTGAAGATGTTGCCTAGTTTGGCAACGAAACGTCTGCAACCGAAATGCCCAGCTCGGAGAACAGGACAATCCTCTCATCCACACCCCGAGCTACAAGTATTCTCTATAATTTCCAAAACGAAAATTAACAACCAGATGAAAGAAGCCGAATGCAGAAACGTCACTGACTATGTGACCGTGCCATGTCAGACACGGTCCCCAACCATTGGTGTAGAGCGTCTCGAGGCCCACATCCAGGAAGACGGCACCGGCAAGATACGAGAAATGGCGCAAAGTACCGATTTTATGCATTATTGGTGACTTTTTTGAACGTTCTCTGATTTCGTTTATTCTTGACTTACCAATAAAAGTGTTAGTTTGTCCGAGAACATTGTTTCGATCGACCAATGTGATTATTCTAATTGATTTCTGGAAAAAGGTTGGAGTTTGATGCGTGTAGGGTTCGCTGATCAATTGCTTAGGAGGTGCTCACCTTAACAGTTAGTTTCAGCCAAAAGCGCAAATCAATATCCACGTCAGCTTGACCGGCATTCCAGGGTACGTTATCGCCGGACAAACGTGGTGAAAAGTACCTCTAGAATCTCATAAAGCGGATAGCAGAGTGAGTTCAGGTGTTGTAGCTAGTTTCCGATACGCAGCAAATATTTGTCGCTTGAGTCCCCAATATTTAGACTATTGCTGCCCTTTGACCGATCTGTAACAAAGTGCGTATGTTGAAGTATGTCAGTCGTTGCGAGGATCAAGGACTGTAAATAGAAACGGGTGAGCCTAGGTTGTCCATACGGTTGGATATGGACTTACCGCAAGGCTGAAGTGACGCACCGCGATTGTCCATGTTGAAATTAGAAGCTAGACGACCATTAAAGTGATTTGGGGGGCAGTGAGAAGTGAGGGTTAAAAACTGACGGGATAAAAGTTGTCTGAATAGAAGGATAAGAACTAAAAGCCTTGAGAGGAGAGAGCGGGAAGACGAAAAATAATGTTACTGTCACTCCAATCCCTAACCTGGAGCACCAAGGGATATTTTGTCGGGTTTCTAACCATTGAATTTCCTGGTATGAGTGACTGAAGGTGTAATAAACACCACCAAGCAAAGCACTGCTACTGTCATGTAAACCATCGCATCATGACAAGATCCATTCTCATTGCGATGGATGCGATAATGTAGCTGCATGGAGCGTGGAAGGCAGGCTAGCTGTCACGGACCTGGCTCCTACGAGGAACAGCTATTCGCCAGAGGATAGGTAATAGAAATGATAGTAACGCTACTATGGTTCTTGCACAATCAAGTGACAATTCGTGAAGATGGAGTGGAGGGCTGTCAACCCCCCAGTCTGAATGCGCACACAGCATCGTTTAATAGAGCGGATGGACCAGTCACTGATGAGCCACCCCATCTTCAGTAAACATGAAGGAAAGTTACCTGGTTCGTGTGGAAATAAATGATAGTGTAACACTGCGGAACCTTTATCAGAAATCCATGCGAATAAAAATTATCACCATTATCAACAATATGGTTACACGTCAACCAGGGGGGTAGAAACGCTTCATCTATTGTGCCGCGATCCAATACAAGTCCATAGTCGTAGAAAATAAATAAAAACTCAGAAAAGCATGATATGCTTTGTCTGTGCTATACATCGAGATTGAAATCGTGGTTGGAGAGGAAGACTAACCAGGATGGTGAGGGACACTTTATCGTCTATATCAGCGTTACTGGGGTTTGTCAGATGCGGCGCAGAACAAGCATCAAGGGAAATGTCATGCTTCCACAGCTGTTTTCAGTACGGCAAGGCTAGACGATATGGATGTAAGGAGTCGGGATATCACTAAAAACTACCAGGCAACGAAAACTCCACCGGTGAGTAAGAACAAGAGAGGTGATTGCATGATAGTTCACCTGATAGTGCACATGATAGTATAATTGAGGGCAAAGTAAAGGCTATGTCGACAACGACGTACCATTGAGCTCATGGGAGCGTAGTCGAATGGGCAGCAATGGAAGCGAGCCCAGCTATCCGACCAGTAACATAGGGGCGAATTATATGCGGACACCTCATGTCCTAAATATTCACGATGGATTTCGCTGTCGTAAAACAGATGAGTGAAAAAATCTTCAGGCCGCTACCCACTCAGCACGAGTGACCGATTGGTGTATGTTGGGCAGACTTGACAGCCCGATTTGTTTCTGGTCGTTTACGTGAGACCATTCGGTCAACAAACGGTAATTCAATGAAAATTTTCGGTGTAAACTTGATATTTGGTGTGGGTGCATTTTTCTGGGTAAAAATTACCTCCGGTACTCAGCGGGAATCGACCCCTAGAGAGTCGAAAGGCAGCATTAAGTACGTAAGTCAATTGAAAATTATTTTTAGTGATGGACATGTGAACCAAAAGTATATCACCGGAACATTTAGAAGCACACATATCAGTAACTCGCGCCAAATGAGTCAACATCATGAATGCACGATAGCTGAGGATGAGAAACATACTGCGTCGCAATACAATCATCATCATCAATACACATTAGCCGAAGGGAGCACACCTCAGCTAATGTGCTGCAATACAAACGATGATACAAAAACACTACATAAAAGATTCCAAAGCAAGCAATATGATGTTAAATATTATATTACGCGTTTCGTATGAGATCGGAATTGGAGGGGGAATCTAAAGGGGAGGGGTGGACAAAGAAACTGACAACACAAAAGCCATTGGGGCCGGCTCAGTCATATCTGCAAGTGTCCAAGCAAACGTCTTTATCGACCTTACAACCCCAGCCAGGCAGTCGGAATGCACCAACCGACGCCAGCTTCGAAGTGAGGGTTTGCATTTCCCCCGACCAAGTCATCGCTTGGAATCCCTCTTTCTCTTCCAACCGCACCCCGTTGCACTAACAATTGGGCAACTCTGACAAAAGCCCCTTGCTGTCAGAAAGACATCCGACGAGTTACCGTAGACTCGAACGAGGCCTGGGGCGTCCGGATGTAGTGCACGTAAAACGTTCACATATTGCAAGGGAACATATTTCCGCGCAAGTATATTAAACAGAATGCATCAATCGACTGAGTTGAACGCACTCTTGAAGTCGAGGAACACAGCTATCGTCGGTCTGTGACATGCGTGGTGCTGCACTAGCACCTGCCACAGTGTGAATATATGTTCTATACAGACCCGTCGTGGGTGGAAACTTTCCTGCTCTTCCAACACGACGAGACGGGACCTTAACGTGGTGCGCTGGTTTGCGTGCCCCAGTAATCCACTGAGCTATGCTGGGAAGTGCATTTTGCACCTTCAGAGCCACTCGTATCAGATTGGTCAGTGGTCAGACCAACTCAATCACCTGGCCCTTCAAATTGGTGGTTGGAATGAGGGTGGCTCCTTAATCTATCAAACGGACGCTCTGTAGCCCAGTGCCACAATCGCTACTTTGCGTTAAGGTTTTTTTAATCAAAGGTATTCGTTGAGAATTCTAATCGTTCTCCTGTATAGGTCTCGGCAACCTGACAGTATACTGTCTGATGCTCTAGCCATCGCAGAGGATAACAAACGGCGCGTTATCTGCCACATCGAGTAGGGTGGATAGGGGTAAGAATGTTACTGCTTAAGCCTTCGCTTCTTTTTCTAACTCTTGCGCTTTTTGTCCTCATCAATTGAACAATGGTTATATACAGGTGAAAAAGTTAATGCTCAACAGGTCCCGTAGGATGGTTATGGTGAAACTATCGTTAGCCAAAGTTGGTTTACGCCGGTGAAATCACTGAGTTGTACGTAGTGTAAACTGTAAATCCAAAGTAAATCCACAAGGAATGACGGCAAATGGGATATTGGTAAAATTTATGTCGCCTCCTGGTGAAATAATGGAACGAAATCTGGGATCGCCAGTGAAATCTCACAGATAATTGTATTTATCCACGGGTAATGAGTCAGGTAAGATGGTACAGCGAAATAAGTGTATGACCAACAAGGGCTTTGAACTCTGTCAGCGTGGGAGCACGTGACGGATTCCGGTAAGGCATAGTACGTTCAGCAAACGCGTACGGAAAAGAAATTCCGATGGCATTCCAAAGGACTGTGCTGCTCCGCCAGCTTGAGATGGTGGCCTCTCAAAATGCTGTTCTGACTGAGCTCTAGCAAGCAGCGGCACGGGTGGTTGGGATTTCTCAAATCTGGTAAGTCAAAATGAAGTCCCCGCGCAATCGCCGGTACTGTGCGCTGAAGACCCGGAGCACTTGAAGCCTTCGTTCTTACGGTAAATCATACAAATCCTTTGCATTTTTGGTTACCCAGCGTTGGGGTATGTCTAGGGCGGTGTGATCTCTCCTCAACCAGGGCTGTCAGGCCCGCATTGCGTATTCCACATGCGGGCGTATATATGAGCCGAGAAGTTGTGGAAAAATCGTACGGTCGAATCGTCCGAATGTATGCTCCAGAAGGCCCACGTGTTGGATGCCACTTCATGATGTCGTTTCAGCCTGATTCAAACATCCAATGTTGACCTGGACCAAAACTCCAAGATCCTTCTCGCCAGAAGACGTTTGAAGCTCCTGGGTGCTGAGTTTTTAAAACTGTACCAACTTGTGCCGTAATTGCAGCACTCTACGTTTGTCCAGATTAAATCAAAGTAAATTCTAAATTGACCACGCGTATACTCTATCCAGGTTGTCTTTTAATACTGTGATACTATCTGATGTATTGATCGCCCTTCACACCTTGAGGTCATCGGCATGAAGCAGGTAGTTCGAGCTTATGAGGCATGTGATATCGTTAATATATGTCAGAAATAACCGCCGTCCTAGTACCGAACTCTGCGGTACTTCGCATTCAACTCGGATGGGATCTGACAGCGATTCACACACACGTACTTCCAGGTGCTGGTGTAGAAGAGAGCTTCTGATCCAACCTAGGAGAGGATCATCAATACCAAAGATCTGGAGTTTGAAGAGCAGAATGTTATGGTCTAACCAGTCGAATGCCTTTGAGAAGAGAAAAACTACATTAACTTCTGTGCCAGAGTCTATTGCTTCAGTCCAGCAGGATCGTGCTAGTAGATTTGTAGTGAGCGATCAATTTCGGCGGAAGCCATGGTGTTCCGGTGCAAGGCAGTTAAATTCTTTCAAGTAGGCCGTTAGCGCGTCAAAAATGCTGACTTCCATGACCTTTGAAAGAACCCGTAGTAAAAGTATGGGACGGTAACTGGCTGGTGAGAAACGACTACCTCACTTGCGAATAGGAGTAATCATCCCGTGTATCCAAATGTCAGGCACGTACAGTTCGTCAACTGTTGGAAGGATCGAGCCAAAGGCTCAGCTAAACTCTCTTCTACTGTCGCTAGCGATTTCGTGTGTATATTATCAACTCCAGGAGAGCTGTGCTTGCTCATACTCAACAGCTGTTTTAATACAGCTTCTACTGTGAAGGATATGTGAGTTTTGGGTGTAAAACAACCATCGTCATAGGGTTATGTGGCCAATGGTTGCATTGAAATGTTGCAGCATATTGTATGCGCAGGGTATTCGCCGCCTACTCCGGTGTCCGTGTGGGTCCGTTCGCTGTTTGGAGAGGAGGAATTCCCCATTTCATCTTACGTAGATTGTTGACATCTTCATACAGAAGCTTGTGATTTGATGCTATACACACTACCAACTTCTGCTGGTACGCTATTTTATTCTCGCGAACAAGCCTTCCAGTTTTCGGTGTTTGGAGAGAGTTTGTAGACCTGCCAGGCTGAGATTCGCACCGCCATAAATTTGCGTGTCCTGCTTCCCAGAAACGAGACCACGTTTCTTTGGCGGAGGGTCTTAGTCGCTGATGCTTCAGCAACCAGAAGGTTAAACTGGCTAATGAAATGTTTCCATGCACCAGCTAGTGTCCCGGCTGCCAGAAAGGTGCAGTTAGCTGTCTCACATAGTCGAGCTATGTCGTAGCGCATGATCACTTTTGTTGCGTCGGCAATGTTCACGGGATATTCTGCATAGTAAATGTATTCGAAGAGTAGGACTACATGATCGCTGCGGCCCAAGTGGACGGCGACAATCACCCACTTGACCATTAGTCCTTCGTTGGTGAATATCCGAGCCAGTATTGACGGCTTATCTTTCCCTCGGAATCGGGTGGGAATGTTGATGTGGCTACACAGCGGGTAACTGGAGACAAACTGTTGTAGATCGGCCTTAAACTGTTCTCCGAAAGATGCTTGGGATTTCAGAGCGTGGAGGTTGAAATCGCCAGTACTGAGAATGCGACTGTAAGTTGTGTTCACCACCCTTCTTAGTGGAGATGCCAAATGGGAGTCCATCTCGGGCATGGAGGAAGGAGTGCTGTAAATGAGCGAGCAAGTGTTACCTTTTAAA